AACCAAAATTGGGAAAAGTTCAAAAAAAGGAAATCTGCATAAGTTATTAAATCCTTCAGAACTAAAATTTCTGTTAACAGAGCAGTTCTTTATTTCCCAATAGTTTTCACAAACATAACTTTTTTTTTTTTTATAAAAATAAGTTAACAGAGCTGTTACAAGGCTCCTCAGGTGAGAGTAAGTTTATTCAGGTATAGGTACCCATTAATACAATTACATAAATTATCATACATAGCAGCATATCTGTAGATTACCTAGGATAATCGAAGGTCAGACAAAGTGACTTACGTATTTCCATTCGGGTCCTTGTAATAACTTACTATTATTTTAGTTATATTTAAACCTAAGTACACTATACGACATATTTTTAGGTTCAGAGATGTTATATCTGTTGATTTACAGTCCTCTGTAGTTTACAAATATACAAGCAGGCCCCATTTATACAGCAGCTTAGGTTCTGGACTTCTGCTGTAAAGTGAAACATAGCCTTTCTTCACTTTCAAATGCATATAAAAACCTGATAACATGTTTACACTATCATACATTAAGTGAACAGTAGAGCTAGGCCTAAAAAAATTCATATACAGTACACACATTACTTATCTGAAAATATATATATACTACAGTGGAACCTCAGTTGTTGAACTTAATTCGTTCCAGATGTCAGTTCGACAACTAAAATGGTTGACAACCAAGCCAGTTTTTTCCGTAAAGAATAATGTAAATAGAATTAATCTGTTCCAGACCAAAAATGACTGTAATAATTTATTAATAATAATGTACTAACTACTGTATAAAACATTGTATAAAATTATACAGCACATGGAAACTGTAAAAATGAATACAGTACTAAATGAAAATTTAACTGAAATACTGTACAGCAAATGAAAATTTAACTGCCTCTTACCTGTCGGAGAAGAACTAATGGCAAAAGTCTAGCGGCTTCAAATCTTGTGGGAGAAAGCTGATAGGCCTACATATGAGAGAATGGATCTGCATGGTCAAAATGTGCAGTATAAAAAAAAAATCCTACAGCACACAGTGCATAATGAGAAAAAGAAACTGCGACCGCGTTCTTGGTTTAAAACAGCGACTTTGTGGTGTAGTATTTTCGTATGGTATTTATGGTTGTATTCTCGTTTTCTTGGTCTCATTTGATAGACTGGAAGATATATTAATGAATGAAAGTAGAGTGAAATTGAGCTCAAAGTAGTGGAAATGTTCAATTTTTGCTATGTTCACGAGCAAACAAATCACATCATGCATCCAGTACACGTCAACTGGTGGGTCTGATATTCATTCATGAATGCTCTGATATTATTTATACAATTATTACAATTATGCAGGAGTCTGAATAACAGTAAATCTTCTATATTTTGTGTGAATAAAAATTCAAAATGGAAAGCAAGCGTAATATGAGAGGGGCCTGGAGACATGACTAATGAATAGAGAAAGTGTTATTTTAGTGCCAGGAATGTCTTCATTGTTTATGCTGGACTCTGTTTTAAAATTGGGTTTTCTTGAATATTGTGTGAAATTGCCCAAATTAGTAATTTCAGATCACTTTTTTGGGTAGTTGAAATAGGTAAATGGGCAGTTTCTCAGTCAATGGAATAAAAGGAGTTCTAGCAAAATAGCTATGAGTTTGGTTGACTGGAACAATATAATTGGCCCAAAATTGGGCTCAAAACGGTCATAATCACCAGTACGCAAATATCGCCAGACTCCTAACTTCGCAATGGCATAATTCTGTAAGTTTTCCATCAAATTTCGTACTTTTGGTTTCATTATCTTCACAAAATACACAGAAAAAGCTCAAGAGATGTTTACAGCATGCAGGTTGGTAGGTAAGACACATGGGCAACAGTTAGGCAACTTTATTCTGAAACGTTTCGCCTACACAGTAGGCTTCTTCAGTCAAGTACAAAAGTAGGCAGGAGCAGTAGAGATGTGAAGACAATGTAATCAGTCCATCACCCTTGTAGTCGGAGATTTGAGGTTGTCGGTCCATTAGCCTGGAGAAGAGTTCTGTTCCATAGATTCTTTCAGACTATGGAACAGAAATCTTCTACAGGCTGAGGGACTGACAACCCTATTCTGTGGAACAGAACTCTTCTTCAGGCTGAGGGACTGACAACCTCAAATCTCCAACTACAAGGGTGATTGACTGATTACATCGTCTTCACATCTCTACTGCTCCTGCCTACTTTTGTACTCGACTGAAGAAGCCTACTGTGTAGGTGAAACGTTTCGGAATAAAGTTGCCAAACTGTTGCCCATGTGTCTTACCAACCTGTCGTTACTGTATACCATTTTAATATTCACTCAGCATGCATGTTAGTTGCTTTACTGACTTGAGACCCATGCTGTGGGCTCCGTCTGGAATCATGTGATCTGAGCATTGTTGGTTGACAACCAAGACCACATACGAAAACCAGGACTGAATTCCTTGTTTGAAAATTGATATGTTTGACAGTTAGTCCATTTGAGAACCGAGGTTCCACTGCATTAACAAAGCACTGTAAAGCGGTGCCTGCCTGTATTTATCATAGCTGTAATGCTATGTATATTAGTAAAACTAAGCATCAACTGAAAGTCTGCATATTTGAACACTTTGTCAGATCTGTTAGAATAAATAGACAATTGGGTAAACTCCCATTTAGTGCTCTACACCAACATTGGGAAGCTTCAGACCACACAATAGAAAAAATCATTCACAGTGTTGTCCAGTCAATCCAATACCATTGAGCTGGCAACAGTAGTCTCTCTTTACACCATTAATAAAGACAAGTTTTCCCTGCGTAATAATGAACAGTCAGTAGAGTTACTTTGTTTCTAGTTTTATTTTCTTTTTTATAATTGATTATAGAGTGAGCTAACTCAAAAATTTAGTGCATATATAATTGATATTTAATGCACATATGTATATATGTATTCATGTATGTATGTACAGTGGACCCTCGACCAACGATGGCATCATCTAACGTTAAATCCGACTAGCGATACATTTTAACACAAAAATTTTGCCTCGACTAGCGCTAAAAAACTCGACCAGCACGATTCGTTCCGTCTGAAACATGTCCACTTGTGGCCAGTGTTTACAAGCCAGCCAGCCACCGCGGTCCCATCCAAACATACAATCGGAACATTTCATATTATCACAGCGTTTTTAGTGATTCCACTGCAAAATAAGTCACCATGGGCCCCAAGAAAGCTTCTAGTGCCAACCCTACAGCAAAAAGGGTGAGAATTACTATGGATATGAAGAAAGAGATCATTGCTAAGTATGAAAGTGGAGTGTGTGTCTCCGAGCTGGCCAGGTTGTTCACAAAACCCCAGTCAACCATCGCTACTATTGTGGCCAAGAAAACTGAAATCAAATTCAAATTCAATTCAGTTTATTCTCTATAAGGATTACAATGCTGAGTTTACAGAATTTGGTTATTGCCAAAGGTGCAACTATGTTTTCGAAACTGAGATCACAAGTGTTAGAAGATGTTGAGAGACTGCTATTGGTGTGGATAAACGAAAAGCAGATAGCAGGAGATAGCATCTCTCAAGCGATCACATGTGAAAAGGCTAGGAAGTTGCATGAGGATTTAATTAGAGAAATGCCTGCAACTAGTGGTGATGTGAGTGAATTTAAGGCCAGCAAAGGTTGGTTTGAGAGATTTAAGAATCATAGTGGCATACATAGTGTGATAAGGCATGGTGAGGCTGCCAGTTTGGACCAAAAAGCAGCTGAAAAATATGTGCAGGAATTCAAGGAGTACATAGACAGTGAAGAATTGAAGCCTGAACAAGTGTTTAATTGTGACACTGACAGTGTTGTGAAACACTTTAGGAATGTCATAAAGGAACGGGAGGTACAGGCCTCTATGGACAGATATGTTGTGCGACGAAGGTCCAGTGACTCTCAAGCTGGTCCTAGTGGCATTAAAAGAAGAAGGGAAGTAAACCCGGAAAAGGACTTGACACCTCAAGTCCTAATGGAAGGGGATTCCCCTTCTAAACACTAACACCATCCACAGTCTCCCCTCCTCCCATCCCATCAATCATCACCAGATCTTCAATAAAGGTAAGTGTCATGTAATTGTACATGTCTTCTTCAGTTTGTGTGCATTAAAATTAATATTTCATGTGGTAAAAATTTTTTTTTCAATACTTTTGGGTGTCTTGCATGGATTAATTTGATTTCCATTATTTCTTATGGGGAAAATTAACTCGACTAACAATAATTTTGATTAACGATGAGCTCTCAGGAACAGATTAATATCGTTGGTTGAGGGTCCACTGTGTGTGTACTCACCTAGTTGTACTCACCTAGTTGAGGTTGCGGGGGTCGAGTCCGAGCTCCTGGCCCCGCCTCTTCACTGATCGCTACTAGGTCACTCTCCCTGAGCCGTGAGCTTTATCATACCTCTGCTTAAAGCTATGTATGGATCCTGCCTCCACTACATCGCTTCCCAAACTATTCCACTTACTGACTACTCTGTGGCTGAAGAAATACTTCCTAACATCCCTGTGATTCATCTGTGTCTTCAGCTTCCAACTGTGTCCCATTGTTACTGTGTCCAATCTCTGGAACATCCTGTCTTTGTCCACCTTGTCAATTCCTCTCAGTATTTTGTATGTCGTTATCATGTCCCCCCCTATCTCTCCTGTCCTCCAGTGTCGTCAGGTTGATTTCCCTTAACCTCTCCTCGTAGGACATACCTCTTAGCTCTGGGACTAGTCTTGTTGCAAACCTTTGCACTTTCTCAGTTTCTTCACGTGCTTGGCTAGGTGTGGGTTCCAAACTGGTGCCGCATACTCCAATATGTGTGTGTGTGTGTGTGTGTGTGTGTGTGTGTGTGTGTGTGTGTGTTTGCATACATACTCTCCTCCAGGTGACCGACTACCTTATTGTACAAAAGGCAGTGTCCAGGTGGTAAAACAGGAAGAGAACATTCAGTCACTAGGAGAGAAGCTTGTCTTTGAGATGAATTTAGAAATATTTCAGATCAGTACCAAATATGACAACTTTCAGTTGTCTTCAACATATTCAAGCCAAATCTAATTATGTACTTTTGTATTTATTTATTTTTCAGGCAAAACGTCTCATCACTAATGAGTTTGCTGCAATTAAAGTCATCAAGTTGGAGCCAGGTATGCATCTCATAAATTAATTTTATTTGATTCTGTAACACACCGGCCATTTCCTGCCGAGGTAGGGTGACCCATAAAATAAGAAATACTTTCACCATCACTCACTCCATCACTACCTTGCCAGAGGTGTGCTGATACTACAGTTCAGATGCCTCTCACAACTATATTATCCCCCCACCCTTCCTTCAAAGTGCAGGCACTGTGCTTTCCACCTTCAGGAGTCAAGTCTGGCTAACCAGTTTCCTTGAATCCCTTCATAAATGTTACCTTGCTCATGTTCCAACAGCACATCAAGTAATAAAAACCACTTGCCTCTACTCACTCCCATCTAACATACTCATGAAAGTCCTGTTGGGTTTTATATTTCGCATCAGGTTTTATATTTCGCATCAGGTTTTATATATCGCATCACTACTGAGCCATTTATGGCCCTACTCTACCATTTACATCATTACATAACTTCTGTACCATTTACATCACTGTTTTACCATTTACATCACTACTGAACCATTTACATCACTACTGAATGATCTTCCCGGTGTACAAATATAGGAAACTTTTTTTTAATTTATCAGACTGAGTGATCAACATGCGAGGTATCTCAGTTGTGATACACAGTACAAAATGATCTGATATGGGTTTTACCAGCCCAGTTTTTGTTGAAGATAGCAGCTGATAATCAGTGGCCATCTCAGTAGACTTCATCAGCGGAATACAGTGGTGTTAAATATGGAGACAACAGAAGCAGAGGAGAGGTAAAGACGTAGTCTGCTATCAACCTCGAGAAATTAGTTAAGACATGGTTAGACCTTCAGCTTGGAGATGGATAATTGGAACCAGTGATGTAGTGATGAAAATCGAGTTGTGATGTACATGGGACATCATGGGACAGTAGTGAAGTGCAGTGAATTGTAATAAAGTGCATGGAAAAGTAATGATGAAAATGGAACATCCCATATCATAAAAATCTTTGAAAGGGTTCTAAGAAGCAAGATCGCCAACCACCTAGATACCCATCAATTACACAACCGAGGGCAACACAGGTTTAGGGCAGGTCGCTCCTGCCTGTCCCAGCTACTGGACCACTATGACAAGGTCCTGGATGCTTTAGAGGATAAAGAAAATGTAGATGTAGTATAAACAGACTTTGTGAAAGCCTTTGATAAGTGTGACCACGGTGTAATAACACACAAAATGCGTGATAAGGAATAACAGGAAAACTTGGTACAGTGGGCCCCTGGATTAAGTTGTCATCAGAATAAGTAACGTTTTTATGAAAATATTGGCTCTGTGAACGTCACTGAACTCTGTATAAGTCATTCGTCCGGAACGTGTCTGCGCAGCCTGAGCGACCCAACACTCCATGTACAGCCAGTGTGTCATTGTTTACCAGCCAGCGAGGATGATCCCATGCGTTCATACGATACGTTTTGTATTATTCCATTCTTTTTAGTGCTTGTAACTGCTAAATAAGCCACCATGGGCCTAAAGAAAGCTTCTAGTGCCAGCCAACCCTTTGGTAAAGGGCTGAGAGAGGGGGGAGAATGTGCCTTTTTCAGTGATTCTGCAATATGTATGATACAAAAGCAGTAGGAGTCGATAAAGGCTAAAGCGCCAGCCAGCAATAAAGTGTAGCAAGTAAGTTAAGCGATTAATCGATAGAAAAAGGACTGCATGAAACTGACTCCTACATTGTTGTTGGGGGTACCGCTTCTGCTGCTGCCTTCACCACCACTTTGTAAGGCTTATCTTTCAGTGGCCCTTATACACCCAACAACAAACAACACACCACCACTCATGACAATTTTAATGCCATATTTTATTCATTCTCGAGTATATATTATATTGTTTATTATGTCATGTTAGATGAATTGTGCTAGATAAATAAGCCGTAGAGCTGATGTTAGTGTCATATTGAAGGACTATCTTGTCCTGTCTCCCAACACAATTCCTAACATATGCCAAAAACAGACCTCTCTGGAACACTTTTTTGAGTGACAGGGGTCCAGTGACTCTCAAGCTGGTCCGAGTGGCATTGAAAAACAGAGAAGGGAAGTAACCTAGGATAAGGACTTGGTACCTGAAGTCTTTATGGAAGGCAATTTCCCTTTCAAACAATTGTAAACTCCTCCATCCTCTCCCCTCCTCCAGTCTTCCATACATCACTATGTCTTCAGTAAAGGTAAATGTGATGTTATTATTGTTTTATTCTTCATATATCATTTTTTTTGTGTAGGTAAATGTATATTTCATGTAGAAAACATTTTTTTTAATACTTTTGGGTGTCTAAAATGGATTAATTGGATTTCCATTATTTCTTATGGGGAAAATTAATTCGGAATAAGTCAGATTCGGGATAAGTCACTCTTTGTGGAATGGATTAATTACATAATCCAGGGGTCCACTGTAGATGGATCTATAACTTTCTAACAAATAGAACACAAAGAGTAATAGTAAACAGAGTAAAGTCTGAGGTGGCTACAGTGAAAATCTCTGTTCCACAAGGCACAGTACTCGCTCCCATCCTCTTCCTCATTCTCACATCTGACATAGACAGAGATGTAAGCCATAGCTCCGTGTCTTCCTTTGCGGATGACACCTGAATTGCTATGACAGTGTCCTCCATCGAAGACACTGCAAAACTCCGAGCAGACATCAACTAAATCTTTCAATTAGGGTATACAAAAATTCTAACCAAACAATAGAGCAAAAAGCTATTGTAAAGGATCTGGGAGTGATAATGTCAGAGGATATCACCTTCAAAGACCACAACAGTGTATTTACCTCATCTGCTAGAAATATGATAGGATGGATAATGAGACCCTTCAAAACTAGGGACACTTAGCCCAGGATGATTCTACTCAAATTGCTTGTTCTCTCTAGGCTGGAATACTGCTGTATACTATCTGCCCCCTTCAAGTCAGGTGAAATTGTTGACCTAGAGAATATACAGGGAACTTTCACAGTGCACATAAATGTGATAAAGCCCGTAAATTGCAGGAAACAGTTGAAGTCCCTTGATTTGTATTCCCTGGAACACAGGTGAGAAAGATACGTGATGATATACATTTGGAAAATCCTAGAGGAATTAGTACTAAACTTCCACACAAAAATCACTCCTTGCAAAAGCAAAAGACTGCAGGAGATGCAGTATTCCCCCAATGACAAACAGGGGTGCTATGAGTACACTAAGAGACAACACAATAAGTGTCAGGGGCCCAAGATTGTTCAACTGCCTCCCAACATACATAAGGGGGATTATAAATAGACCCCCAGCTATCTTCAAGAAGTCACTGGACAGGCACCTAAAGTCAGTACCTGATCAGCCGGGTTGTGGTTCGTACGTTGGTTTAAGTGCGGCCAACAGTAACAGCCTGGTTCATCAGACCCTGATCCACCACGAGGCCTAGTCTCAGACTGAGCCACAGGGACATTGACCCCTGAAACCCTCTCCTGGTATACCCTTATATATTGTGCCACGCTAGTGCTGCCATCTCACAGGCTTAGGCCTATCTTTAGTCTGTGAGATGCTAGCTCACTCTGTTATTTAGCAGACAGCCTACATTCAAGAAGTGCCTCTATCTCCCTTGCCAGGCTGAGTTGGCTTCAGGGCCACCTAGACACACTGCCTGTATCAAGAACTCTATAAGGCTGAGGCTCACGTCCGAAGAGTATTATCTACCGCACCAAAGAAAAGATAGACCATATCTTTTCATTATATTCATGCCTGTGGGCTATACAGTGGACCCTCGAATTTCATAATTAATCTGTTCCAGAGAGTCTGACAAAAGGCGAAATTTATGAATGCGAAACCATTTTCCCCATAAGAAATAATGTAAATCCAGTTAATCCATTCCAGACACCCAAGAGTATTAACAAAAAAATATTTTTTTTACATTAACCCTTTCAGGGTTGGTGCCGTACTAATACAGCTTGCACGCCAGGGTTGGTGCCATACTAGTACTGTACGCATAAATTCTAACGCCTTCAAATCTAGCGAGAGAAAGCTGGTAGGCCTACATATGAAAGAATGGGTCTATGTGGTCAGTGTGTGCAGTATAAAAAAAATTCCTGCAGCACACAGTGCACAATGAGAAAAAAAAAAAAAGACTGTTTTTGGTTTAACTCTTAAATGGTCCAAACAGATAGACGTTCAAATTCGTACTGCTACAAAAGTAGATTTACTTTTTTTTACATATTTTCAAATATAACAAAAAAAAAATGTAGATAAAAGTTTTTTTACATGTTTTCAAATGTAAAACAAAAAAGATCTACATTATTTTACATACTTTCAGATATTGAAAAAATGTATATATACATTTGGACCGTTTAACCCTTTCAGGGTCCAAGGCCCAAATCTGGAGTCACGCACCAGTGTCCAAGATATTTCAAAAAAAAAATTTGTTATTTTTTCTTATGAAATCGTAGAGAATCTTTTTGTGAAGGTAATAAAACAAAAAGTACGAAAATTGGTGGAAAATTGACGAAATTATGCTCTCGCGAATTTTGATGTGTCAGCGATATTTACGAATCGGCGATTTTGCCGACTTTGACTCCCATTTTAGGCCAATTACATTATTCCAATCAACCAAATTCTTAGCTATTTCACTAGTATTACTTCTATTCTATCGATTGAGCACAAGAAATCGCCAAGTCAACTGTTTCAACTACAAAATAAAGTGATCGGAAATTGTTAATTTGGCCAATTTAACACAAAGTTCAAAATATTCCAATTTCAAAATAGGGTCCAGAATGAACAATGTAGGCATTCCTGGCACTAAACAAAACATTTCCTCTGTTCATTAGTTATGTTTTTAGGCTTTACAAATAAATTCCATTTTGATTTTTTATTCACATAATGAATTTTTATTCACACCAAAAAATAGAAGATTTACTGTTATGCAATACTGTAATAATTGTATAAATATCATCACCATATTTGTGAATGTATATTAGACCACCAGCTGATGTGTATTAGGGCGTGTGAGGTTGTTTGTTTA